CCCCCCCCCCCCCCGTTTCAGTGGAAAGGGTAGCCTGAAGTATCACTCTTCCAGAAATCCGTCTTTTCAGAGGCAAGCAGTATGGAGACAGAACAACAAAAGGATTTATTATATAGGATAAAAGAATTATGCTAGTAAAACAGAGCGCAGGTTTGGAGACAGAAAAGCAGAACAAGCAAAGCTTTCTTACCTGGCTATAGTTTAGCCCCTCCTGAAAGACCTAGCAGTTTTCTTTGAGACCAGCCTTCCTGCTGATTCTTCTGGTCCTGGCAGCTGGGATCATTGATTCCTGTAAAGCCCAAGGTTCAAAGACACTGATTCTATCCTAGCTAGACTCTAAAATCCCTTCAAGGCACCCCACCTATTAGCATTATTCTAATGCTGATGAGTCAGCAGAATCCTTCAGATTCTCTCTGGCTATGTAGCATACTTCTGGCCTGATGGATGATTTTGCTTCAGAGGAGTTGATTTCCTCATTATAGGTAGGAAGTGCTTTGGGACCCAACTTCTTCTGTGTGTGTGTGTTTGAGAGAGAGAGAAAGAATAATTGACTGTAAATGTGCATGCCTCAGTCTCCTGGATGAACCATTTCCAAAATTAGGAATGCATACGTAGACAGTATAACATAACCTGTGCAGTGATAACAATAGCATAAATGGATACAGCATAATGTGAGCTTTCAACGAGACCACACATACTGTATCAGAACAATAAATCGGAGGAAAACATTGATGACACCCTGCAAACCCCCAAAACATAAGAGGGTCCATGACATGGACCTGGCAGACTTTTACAGTGCTGCTGCTTATAAAAGTAATGTTTGCTACATGTTAGCCGCAGATTGTAATTGTTAGTGCAGGCTCTACTAGCAGAATTGGAAAGGCTATTTTTTCAGATTATCATTAAAATATTAAATTTGACTTTTTAAATGCTTCTGCAGCATCATCCAGTCTTATGATGCAAATTGTATAGTTCAGGAAAATGTTTTCTCTGCATAAAATACTCCTATTTTGTTCATAATTAACATGATTCTTATTGATTTTTTGGATTCATTATTAATTTGATATATAATTGAAAAAATTGTTGGCATGCTTGTCATAGGAGGGCACAACTGGATAATATTTAGACCTTGTATGTCTTTCTCCATCCTCAAATGATTTTATGAACATTAAATAATGAAGGATGATGCTCCATTTTGATTATCTGTTGGCAAGTGCATCTTGAACTGTGAACAGCCTCCTTTTCTTTTCAAGTGAAATGCTTCTCTTAAAAAGTGACATGATAGGGAACTGAATCAAAATCTTATCCTTGGGACAAACATAACAGTGGAAATTGTGTCATATATCTAGTAGGGACATACCAGTTTGTTGCATAGACACAATACTTAAGTATACAGAGTAATGCTGCACTTACCAAGCAAGCATCTAAACACCCCCAGTCAATTAGTCCCCAGACAAATCACATTGCAGTAGATACCAGTATTTGGGCATGGAGCATGGCTGCAACAGTGATGTCCAGTCTTTGCTACATTTTCTGGAGTTCAACCTTGTAGTCATTCTATTGGTTGGATCTCCTGCTGAATCTAAGCTGCTCCTTTAGACCACTGTAGCCTGCTCCCTGTGCTGATCCCCTAATCCCAGGTTCAGGTAATTTAAGGCCTACTTCATCCCACAAGTTGGGTGCTCTTGCCTTAGCTGCTGCATGTCTCCCTTTTCCAGTCCAGCTTCAACTCCACTACTGTACTACTCTGTTAGTGAGGGATTGGATTTTCTCTCCATTTTATATTCAGTCAGGACTTTGGGGCCAGCTTCCTTATCTGTCTACCCCTTAATCTGTCAACATTCATGAGGTTAAGATTGGCCTTTCCTCATGGTTGCAATTTGCATAGGAATGGGAGCTCTTCACAAGTTTCCACATATGGTTTCACCCAAAAGCCTCATCTCTCAACTAGAGGATTGTTCTCTATGTGTGAGAAGTTCATTTTCTTTGCCAGGCTCACCCTTGGCCTCGTTTGAGTCTTGTAGAAAAGATGCCACCTAATGTGAACTGTCCGGGGGCCAGTGTTGGTGGGGCCCAAAGCGGGGTGGCAGGAGCGCGGGGTTTGGGCTGGCAGGGGTCTATGGAGCCAGGCTGCACTGCACCAGCAGGGAGAGAGGGGGCGAGGGGAGCTGGCCTGGTTCCACAGAGCCCCTGCCAGCTGGGACCTTGTGCTCCTGCTGCCATGCTCCCGCCCAGCTGCTGCATGCCCACTCACTCCCAGCCCCACCACACAGGCGGGGATGACCGCAAGCTCCCATCGCACAGCCCCAACCCTGCCCGGGGATGACTGCAAGCTCTCCCAGCAAACACTGCCTGGTGTGGCGGGGGGGGGGGGGTTTTTTCTTGGCCCGCAGCAGTTTGTG